AGGACATATTCAGCCACAAGAAACAACTTCACTCACCGACCCCAGGACAAGTCCAGCGTGGATAGCTGGACACGGTTTGCGAGCCGAACAAGAATATAATAGAAGAGCCGGCCTCTATTAACAATGTGTTTACTCACCTGCATCATTATCATTCGACTCTTCGAAGCTTGCATCATTGACCGGCTTCAACGACTACTGCCCTATCAGTACTAAGCCATTCGGCCAACCAACGAAGAATTTTGGCTGTCAACCGGCTGCGAATAATAGAGTGCAAAATCGGCCTATACGATGCATAACCGACTTGCAATACTGTTCAATGAAAGCTACGGCAGTGTTCCAGGACGTGGTGGGTTTTCGCCTGGCAAGCGTTCTCCCTATAAAAAGCCACAAATGTCCGCTTAACAACACTGCAACGTGGCGGATGTGACTCGCCACAAAATAAAGTCACAGCTAAGCATTTCACACTGACGCAGTCCTCAGCCTTCTACATCGAACCTGTGCAACTAATTCTGCTATGAAGAATGCTTTGTTGGAGCACAGATCATCCCTATCTCGTAATGGTTATTGGTCGCAACAAAGCCTTGTTTAGGCTCCTGTGCTCACGGATCACTACCTGGCGAAATTACCCCGAACTTGTGTTTTGACGGATTTTTGCGCGCCACAGCACCATAATGTCCCTTGGTCTGACTATTACCTGACAATATGCTCGCTCATATGGACAATATGTTTTCTTTATACCTTTCATTAAAACGGAATGATTTAACATTCCAAAGAAGCTACTTTCGTATGCATATTTGATCACGCCTTTACAGGTGTGTCTCGTTTTACCGAGAATATAATATTTATTTATTTACATATTTATATCTTCAGGTCATCGGCATAAAGCAGACAATCGGTCTGGAGTACAGATGGAAGGTCATTAATGTAGACTTTAAACATCAAGGGGCCTTGTGGTACCCCACTGGTCATGGGAGCGGAAGCAGAGTAGACCTCATTCACCTTCCCTCGCATGCAACGGCCATCCAGAAAATCAGTGACCCAGGAGAGAATATCTCCAGAAACACCAATACTCCGAAGTTTCAACAGAAGCCGTTCGTGTGGTACTGTATCAAATGCCTTCTTGAAGTCGACGAAGACAACGTCTAAGCGATTTCCGGCATCTTATGACCTGGCCCACCTCTCACTGGCAACGAGCAGGTTGGAAACACATGAGCAAGCTCTCCTGAAGCCATGCTGCGCAGAGGAAATGACATTCAAGCCGTCAAGGTGACTATGAAGGGCTCGTTTGAGAATTCGTTCCATGACTTTACAAACTATAGATGTTAAGCAAATTGGTCGATAGTTTCCGGGGTCCTGCCGATTTCCGCCTTTATATATTGGCTTGATGGTGCCCATTTTCCAAGCATCAAGGGACCGCTGAAGAAGTTGGCAGACAGGTACAGCGATGTACTCAGCTAGGGTTCTGAGGAACAAAGGGTGCAGCCCATCAGGACCTGGTGATGAGTTCGGATTTAGCTCGAAAAGAAGCTTGGCAACCAATTCGGGGCGGATTTCTAAGCGTTCTAAAGTACATGAAGGCGTAGACGCTAAATCACAGGTAAACTGTGGCTCAGTCGAGAAGACTGAGGAATACTGCAGGGCCAAGAGTCCGGATTTTGCATCATCATCATGAAGAGTAGTATCATTTGCTTTGGAATACAACGCAGGTATTCCATTACCAGCTTTCGTACGTCTCCGCAGATAGGAGAACAGTAATTTGGGAGCGGAGGAAGATTCCTCAGCCAAGCGGCGCTCGTACTGTTGTCGCTTCTCTCGCTTTTTGAATGTGCAGATATTCCTGACCGCTTTGTAATCAAGGTAGTCCAGAGGCGATTGCGTAGTCTTGAACTCATCCCACAATTTGCGTCGACGGCGCATAAGGGATTTTAACTCTCGATCAATCCAGGGAGGGCCATTGGAAAACGTTTCCCTTCGCAGAGTGGATTGACCTGAGTTATGAGGGACGTGAACTTGGAGTACAAGAGGGTCCAAGCGTCATCAACATCTAAGTGCTGAGGGATACTCCAGTCCATAGCGCCGGCAGCAGTTTTCAAACGGAGTGGATCAGCACGCCAGAAGTTCCGACGGCATGCTCGCTGATCGTGAATGGTAAGACGCCGCATCCAACAAAGGGAAACTACGCAGTGGTCACTTCTCCCAAATGGTTGGAGAACAGTCAAGTCGGAAACATCCGACTGCGTCGGTGTGAGCACGAGGATGTGTGGCGACTGACCCGGACACATTCTGGTGGGCATTGTAACAGGTTGAAACAGATTGCATGCAAGTACGGTTTCGAGGAAGACAGCACCAAAGGGGTTCGGGGGAAGATTGCAATGGAGTAAATCCCAGTCAATACTAGCAGTATTAAATTCTCGCAATATCAGACAATCCTTGCCTCTACCGTGCATACTAACAGCGTCCAGCAAGCTAGCTCCGGAAGCCAAGGGCGCTCTGTACACGAATCCAACTATAAGAGACTTGCATCCAACATGTATCCGAGACCAAAGAAGTTCACACCCATCTTCATTGTCGCATATGGCCTCAACCAGATGACCCCTGAGGTACTCTTTCCAGTAAAGAATCACACCACCTCCGGACCTATTTCGAGAGCGATCCGCTCGAGCTAGATTATACCCCGGAATATGCACCTCTGAGTCGAGGATGTCCGAAAACAACCAAGTCTCTGTGAAAGCCATAAGATCTGGGTGATTTTCGTAGGCAAAGTTCTGAATTTCATCAAGTTTGTTTCGTAGGCTACGTACATTAGCAGATATCACCCTAAAACTATTCTTCGGTCTTACCGCCCGGGAGCGACAAGGATTGGCCTCCAGCGAATTCTCGGAGCTTTTTGAACTACACGAAAATCCGCAATATGGAGGTTCATCTCACCATTTTCCCGGCGTGTTCGTAGTTCTTCAACAGCTTTCTTCATTCGGATCCGATCCTCCGGACAGAGGTCCCGCAAAACATAAAAGGTTTCTCCCCTAAGACGTGGGGTCAGTCTGAGAATGCGGCGACACTTATCCTCACTCTGACAGACAATCTTGAGTGGACGAACTTTAGAAGAATCGTCTTGCTTTCTTCCGAGACGAAAAGCAGAGACAATATTGATCCCTTGTTCGCCTTCATCAAAAAGGAGGGAGACCATTCGCCGCAGATACTCTTGGTCGTCCAGGATTCTTTCAGCCGGGGAAGCCTTGCTGGATTCAGGAACATTCACGATGATCAAACAACGGTCACGAGGATGCGGCTTATTGTATTTAGTGGGTTGGGACATGGGAGGCATGCTGTTCTTGAGAACGTTTTTCAACTGGGTTACTCTATCGAGGACCAGCTTTATTTCGGAAGATTTCTTGGGTTTAGTCGTAGAATCACTCTTGGTTTTCTTAGCTCGCAGAGTTGAGCATGTACTAGCCGATGCTTGTTCTACATTCTCATTCACTGCTGCCGCATATGTCTTTCTCTTGGACTTATGGCTGCCATCACAAAGTGTCAGAGGCTCCGATAGCGAAGACGAGGGGAGGCGACTTCGTTTACCAGTGGAACTAGCTGAGTCAGAGGCCGAACGAGGCGATGAAGAAACCGGCGGTTTAGCAGTGGTGCAGTCCTCAGTTTGAGTAGGAATGGATCGTGGGCTAAGTGCGTGGACTAAGTTCAACACCCGTCTATCGCTCAATACAGTTCGACAAGAGTCACAATGGAAACTGATAGCTGAGGAGGTGGTCCTCTGGAGGTAGTCATAAAGATCTGGACTGATGTCGCAGCAGGCAATGTGTAGCCACCCGAATCGGAGCTGCTAATCCTCCCACCCGATATGTTCTCGGCGGTGGTGAACTCCCTGTTGTCACTCAGCAGGTTGATTTAGGAGTCGTACACGCATCAGCACTTCATTCTGGAGACAACTGGAAGAAGGCTGCTTGTCGAGGGTTTCGTATGATGTGGTTTATCTGCCGCTCTTTCGGAATCTTAACGGCCACTTTGTTTGTGAAGCTATTTTCGGCATTCGTCCGACCCCACCTGGAATATTGTATTCAGGCTTGTCCACCATGTCTTAACCGCGACAAAATGGACTTGGAGAGGGTGGTACGCGTGGGCACTCGGTTAGTGCAGAGTCTACGGGGACAGACGTATCCTGAACGCTTGCTCAGTTTGGGGATGTACACCATGTACTACCGAAGGATAAGAGGGGACCTGATTCTCACTTATCGTATTTTGACGGGTAAGGTTGGCCCGGACTTGTCTGGGCTTTTTAGTCCCGCTACGTTACCTAGTCTCCGCGGTCACCCACTGAAACTGCATAAACCACGGTCTGATAGGATTAGGACGAAAACTCGTCTATCGCGCCGAGTTATAGATCGCTGGAATTCTCTTCCAAATCACGTGGTTAGGGAACCTACGGTTAAGGGTATTGCGCGCCAGCTCGATGCTCTTGGGTGGCAACAGCAAACCTTTCCTTTTTCCTAGCTGACTCACCTTCATTTTTCAGTTCTTTTTCTATTGACTCAAATATCTTGGTATTCCATTTGCTTAGCTCTTATCACTTTCTCTTTTGCCTCCTGCGTTTACTTTTTTCTCTTTCTTACTTCACGTAACCGACCCAGCAGGGACTGCTAGGGCAGGATACGTGGGCATTAATTGGTTGGACAGGGTGTGATGCGGTCTTCTTTTAGGTCCATCAATATTTCAAAGTTCGCCAACTCCTGGTTCAACGACCCGCCGAAGAAGGAACACTCACGGGATCTATCCTATCGTTCCAGTCCCGCTTGAACTTGAACTTGCGTTAACGCCTTTACCACAATCCAAGCATTTGGACGCCATCGTGACTTGTGCTTGACAAATTCCAAATATTTAGCATTCACATCTCCGGGTAAATGAAGTTCGAACACCTTCCTTTGCCAAAAGGTCCAAAGAGAAATGGAGCATCCAAACGCACGTCGTTATCCGCAGACAGAGCACCACGGATTTGGGGTAGGAGAATACGACGGTCTGGTCTCTGTTCCTTTCCAGCTTGCTGATCAATGAGTAGTTTATCAAAGGTAACCTTACTTAATTTTGTTGAATTCACGTGACTCACTGCTTTTTTGATGCATTCTGAATATGTCTGCCTTTCTTGCGCTTTAATTCTGCTGATATGTACTACGTGCCACCTACATTGCTGCCAGGTTGGTCGTTATCCTTAGCCTTAGAGAAAGCAAATTAGGTAAGTAATGCGCAGCACTGGAATGCGCATTTCTGACGATTCCTGAAGCAATAAACGCCTTTCAGTGCTTTCCTATGTAGATTTTAATGAGGGTTTTGACTCCGTTAAATGTCGTTTCTTGCTGAATTATCCGACATGGTTTGGGATATATTCCCAATTAATGTGGCCCGGTAGCCAAAGGGGTAGAGGTTTCGGCTAGGTCAAGTTCAAGTTCAAGTGCGACTGGAACGATAGGATGAATCCCGTAAGTGTTCCTTCTTGAGCGGGTCGCCGATCCAGGAGTTGATAGGGGTGCTCCGACTTTTTTATGGGTCTAAAAGGAAAACACCCGAAAAATCCCTGGTCCACCAATTTTATGCCCACGTTCCTTACATTAGTTGTTCCAGCTGTCAGTTACGTGAAGTAAGTAGGAGAGGAAGGCGAGATTAGGGCAAATCAGTTAAAAGAAGAGAATAATACCAATGGCGAAGAAAAGTGAAGAAAAATAGAATCGAAGTACGAAGATGAGAATTTGTCAGGAAAAAGGAAAGGTTCGTGTTGCCACCCAAGAGCGTCTAGTTGACGCTCAAACCCCTTAACCGTAGCTTCCTTGACAACATGTTCTGGGAGCAGGTTCCAGCGCTCGATGACTCGACGTGATAACCGTGTTTTCGCTCTAACTCGATCGGACCGCGGTTTGTCCAGCTTCATACAATGCCCGCGGAGACCAGATAATCTAGCAGGACTAAATAGCATGGATAAATCAGGGCCAACCTTCCCAGCCAAAATACGGTAGGTTAGGATTAGGTCCCCTCTAATCCTTTGATAGTACATTGACTGCATCCCCAAACTAAGTCAGGTCAGGTCAGGTCAGACGGATGATAGAGGCTTCCGCTTAACGAGCGTCCAGTTCTTATGCCGGTAAGTGAAGCTGCCCCCGGCACTTCGACGTTGGATTGTCTCTTCTTGCTTCTGCATTGGAATGAAGCAAGAACAAGAGCAATCTTTGCACGTTCATATGCCAGCATCAAGATACACTACGTATTCCAGTGAAACTACAATATCTCTGGAAAAAGGATGGACCAACAATCGTCTAAGCCCTTTTTGAAGGCTTCTACGGTCTCTGACTCCACTAATTCAGGAGGAAGTTTATTCCAGAAGTTAACTACTCGGTTCGTAAAAAACTTTGCCCTGATGTCCAAACGAGCTCTAGGATGTTTGAGCTTCAGGCGATGCTCGCGCAGATGGTCTGACATAGCCAACTCAAACAGATGGGTGGAACTAATACCACTAAGTCCCTTGATGATCTTAAACGTCTATCAAATCCCCTCAACCTACGCCGTTCCAAGGAAAATAATCCTAAGCCACTTAGACGATCTTCGTAAGACTTCCCTCGTTGACCCTCAGTTATCCTGGTCGCAAGTTTCTGAATCTTTTCTATACAAATGATGTCACTCCGGAGGTACGGTGACCAGGCCTGAACACTACTCCAGATGTGGCCTAACCACTGCTTTATATAACGGCAAGAATACTTCTGCTTTAGTGTTACTCAGCGCCCTCCTAAGACGAAATAACTCGTGTCGCGCTTTATTGGCAGCATGGCGACACTGTGCCGAGGGCTTAAAATTGTTCGCTACGATGACACCTAGATCACGGGCTTCATCAGTACACCGCAATGATAGAGATCCCACAGGAGACTGAACTGCAATTCCGCTACCACTACTAGTCAGTAGTTGACATTTGTTGGCATTTAGAGGTAGGTCCCATTGGCTTGACCAATTCACCACAGTGATGATGTCCTTAGCCAATGTCGCTCGGTTTCCCCTACTGACTAGCTTCAAGTCATCTGCGAAGATGTGGCGGGGATCCTCAAGAAGAGGAGCCAGGTCATTTATAAATATAAGGAACAGCAATGAACCCAGTACCGAACCTTGGGGGACACCGCTGTAGGCATGGTCAATACTAGAACTCGCTTCCCCAACCCTGACTCTGAATGTCCTTCCACGTAAGAATTCAGAGAGCCATAGTAATAGTTGAGGATGCAATCCAAACCATGTCAGCTCGATTAAAAATCGATGATTCACTGAGTCAAAGGCTTTACTGAAGTCAATAGCACACCTCTATCGATATCCCACCATCAAGACAACGGGTAATCTCGTTTAAAAAGCACAATAAATTGGTAAGACAAGACTTCTTTTTAAGAAAGCCATGCTGTTCTGCTCTAATTAGATTGTGCTCAGTCAATTGCTCACAGATCCTGTTCCTTATTAGCTTTTCCAAGCATTTCAGCATGATGCTGGTCAAACTAACAGGTCTATAGTTAAGAGGCACCGACTTAGAACCCCCCTTGTGGATGGCAACAATAGTCGGCTCCTTCCAATCACGTGCCAGCTTGCCTACTTGAAGAGACTGGTTTATAGCACGTAGATCGTGCGCTATATATCCGGTACGCGACTAGACGATCAACCAAAAGTAGTGGGTAGAAGACACAAAAGTAAACTAGGGAAGAAGTTTATTGGACGGGAGGAGCGTTAGCTAATGCTAAAAATAGGGCACCTGGAGAGAGCTAGCTAGGGAGAATGTCGTTGGCGTCGAGAGCGTAGACGGAGCGTCGTTCGCAGTCGAGGCGCGCGCCAAAGGCGGAGATCGTTTTCGTGTTTCCAACAAACGGGAACAACGTTCCAACAGGCAAACCGAATGGTTCCCTAATACATAAGAAAGCTATAAATTGAATAGTTTAGAATAATTTACACAGTCATACGGGGAAATCTCCAGGTCGCTACAGGTTGAATAACTCCGCTATGGGATACTGAAGGATATCAGCCAGAGGCTTAACTATGGCGGGATGTACGCTATCAAAACCAGCTGATTTATAAGGGTTCGAACTGGCCAGCACTGTGAAGACCTCTGACACATTGAGAATAATTTCCCGCATTGTGTAGCTAGTTGAGCAGTGCGGCTGTGATGGCAAGGCTGACCCGCTATCCTTCCGATGCAGGTTTTGGTAGACACGTAGCAGCACTTCTACTTTATCAACGTCGTCTACAGCCTGGGTACCATCCTCCATGGTTAGACAGCCGACCACCTCTCTTAAAGAAGCCTTTGACTGGACATAACTGTAATAACACTTGGGATTAGTTTTCGCAAATTTGGCCAACCTAAGTTCAAATGAGTACTTCGCCTGCCGCTGTAACTTCATAGCCATGTTTTGACACCTATTGTATTGCGGCCAACGTCAGAAGCCCCGAGTTTCTTGATATTTTCTCCACTCAGCATTGCGCCTCTTTATCGCTCTATCAATTTTTCTTCACCATCGGGGTTTCCCAAGATGTTTCCTGAGGCGAAGAGGAGCAAATTTGTTCAGCAACTGTACAAGTCCACTTTTAAGTAGATGCTACCTCTGTTCCAAAGTGGCCTTGTCCTGTTCAGAGATCCAAGTGATCTGAAGGGCTCGATCCCGCAGCTTCGTAAAATCAATACGATTTAAATCTCTTCCCATTCGACGGTTCTCTGCAAGCCTCGGTGTGTCTAGAGAAAAGGTCAAAACACAATGATCACTCTTACCTATGGGTGGCTCCACGCATAGGTCAATCAGGTGACCATGTCTGGCGATCACGATATCAAGGGTTGAAGGAGTACTCCCAGTACGACTCCTAGTCGGAACATTGACGTATTGCTCGAACGCATTTACGTGCATCCAATCTACTAGTTCCTTTTCTAAAGTACCCACTCTGTTTTCAGCATGCTGCCAATCAGCATGCGGAAGGCTTAGGTCACCGACGATCAGAAAATTAGGTGCGGCCATTGCCGCCTTTCTTAGTAACGTACCAAGATCCCTGTCCTCTTCTCGCGTGGAGGATGGGCTACGATAAACACACTATAATCTCCAATCTACCCCATGCTCTTAGATAGCAGGATACCACCTGAATGTTAGCAGAACTCATGGTAAAGAGAGCCTCCCAGTGTTTATACTGGCACTTTACAAGCAAGAGTACTCCTCCACCAGTCTGATACCCGGGTCTGTCAGCCCTGTAGCACGCAAAGTCTATAAGCAGATCACCAATAAGATCATCTGGAGAGAGCCAGGACTCCGACACAGCGGCCACATCAACATGCTCACAACGCGTCACAAATTCCCCCATTTGTTACGCACACTACAACAATTAGTGTACCACACGCTTAGTCTCTCCGAACGCGGTTGTTTCCACTCAGACGTAGAGCCCGAGGGGATAACCCGTTTTTTTGTACCATTTCATTTCGATCAGCTGCTTGAGTCGATGAATCAACGCTGGGCTACTGTAACGCATTACGGGATAATCCCTTTCCTGGCTTCGCCCGCCTGGGCTTGCTGGACAAACTCCCGACGGGTTTCCTCCCATTTACCTAAGTCGACCTAACAGCACTGCACTTCGGATTTTCTGTACGGTCCAATTTAGGTGTGGCAAGTTTTTCATTTATCCTATCATTTTGTGATAAGGGCATACCACCCATGGACTTTGGTGCCACTACTATCGAGCATGAGGCCTCGATTGCTTTTGAACGCACCGACTGAAGTCCCATTGCCACACCTTCACTACCCTCTTCCGCCATAGAGGTGTGATTCACATTGCCATCAGGAGCAAGCTTCTCCACAACCAAATGCAGGCCAGGAGTTATCTCGCTGGCGTCTTGTGAAGGGGTTGTCCAGACAAGCTGACTGCCCTGGCCACAGGAGAGCAGACGCTAGAGTTTTGCTTAGGTGTCTGCGTAACGTGAGGCTCACTATCGTGAATTCCAACGTGTGAGACCGCAGATTCGTTAGTCAAGCTGGTATTAGTACCTTCTAACCGGCTCAGCCGAGGGGCTTTAGCCTTCGAA